TCCACAGGCTCGACCACCCCACCCATCACCATGGCTCGTATCCTCTCCGTGGCCGCCCTGGCCGTGTTCCTCCTGGCGGCGCCCGCCCTCGCGGCCCGCGACCTGAAGCAGCTGAGCGCCGTCACCGGCGCTGTGAACGGCCTGCTGGGCACTGTTGGCACCACCGTCGGCAGCGTCCCCGTTGTTGGCCCCGTCGCCAGCCCCGTCATCGGCACCGTCGGCAGCACCGTGAACGGCCTGCTGGGCACTGCCACTTCCACTGTCACCCCCGTGCTCGGCACTGTGGTGGGCACCGTCGGCTCCCTCCCCGTTGTTGGCCCCGTCGCCACCCCCCTCATCGGCACCGCCCTCGGCACCGCCGGCAGCGCCCTCGGCACCGTCGGTGGCGCCCTGGGCACCGTCAACGGTGTTGTGGGCTCCGCCGCCGGCACTGCCAGCGGCCTCCTCGGCACCGTCACCGGTGTGACCGGCAGCCTGCCCCTGCTGGGCTGATTGCTCCACACCACCTCATGTTGATGCAGCCTTGCGCGCATTGATGCTGTGACTACGTGCTGTATTCCGCATTTGTGCTTGCGCATGTTTTCCCAAAATCGTTTGCATGCCTGTACTTTTGCCGTGCGCCCTGACCTGCTCTCACCTCTTGAGAGCGGAAATTGGCTGTATATGTGATTTATTGTAGCCATAAATCAGCTGCAATGCAATCCTGTAACACTCAAAACGGAAACACTTCTTATTACAAAATGTCAAATTTTTCATGTGACCTCAACAACCAGGGCACGGTGATCAGATGCAGCCCAAGTCAAATTCGCCATGTACCAGAATGATGGCATCAGGTCCCTGAGCAGCACCCAGTCCAGCTTGCCAGTCATGAGATGTAAGGGGCCCAGCCTGTTCCATTGAAAATGTGTGCATTTGGTAAACTCAGGGGATTTTGGCATAGTGCTCAACTGCAAAGACATGCCCATGCTCAATCCAAGAAACAGGCAAACAGTGTGGTGTGCAGGTTGTACAGTGTCTGGTATCTTGCAGCATGCGCACGAGCAGCAGGCGTGCCTGTATGTAGGGTTGTCCAGTGTGATGTCAACAGCCGCGTCAAAAGGGTCAAAGAACCCGGGGTTGACCAGGGCGCTGCAGACGTCGACGGGCAGCCCCAACTTCAAAAAGTGAGTGTTGACCATGGCGGGGTCCTTTCCTGGGGTTTCAGGTTGGGGAGGCGAGGCTGGCGTCTTGCCCTTCATGTCCATGCACGCAAGCAAAGATTTGTAGGATTGACGTGCAAAGCTGCAACGTGGTGTCGCTTGTAGGTCAAGCAAACACCACACTATTGGAAGATTCACACCACAGCGTGCAGTCCCCGCCCTGCATTGCTCGACTTGCCGACGCATGAAAAGATGTAGCGCTGCCAGTACTGCGCCTCGCTGAGGCCCAGCGTCTGCCACCGCAGCTTGTCACAGCAGTAATTAGCAGACAGCCGCGCCACACCATTCGCCATCTGCGCAGCGCGCAGTAGCGTTGCAGAGTGCAAAAGGCAAGAAAGATGGGGTTCCGGGCATGGGTTTTCAAGGAATGCGCGGGGGCTTCAGAGCAGGGCAGCGGAAGGCAGGCGCCCACTGGCCACAGGTGGATGCAGCCAAGCCACAGACCTTCGCTGCATGCGTGGCCAAGACACCCTCAAGTGCCATGCCCCAGCAGCGAGTACCATGTGTTAAGTCCCTCCAACCCACCGTGTTAAGATCTCCTAATATTGCATATCGCCTGACGCGGGGCTGCAGAGTCTGCTGCTCCTGCTGCTGCTCCTGCTGCTTGTCACAGGATCCTCCATTGTTCCATTGCGCCGCCAAGGACACCTCTGTTGCCGCTGCGCCGCTTGCCGCGGCGTCTGTCGTAGGCGCTGCCGCCGCTGCTTCGTGCGACTCGGAGGCCTTGACGTCCCTCAGGATGTCGGAAAACTGCCACGCACGCCCCAGGATGCCGCAGAACACCTAGGGGATGAGTGTCCAAGAGCAACAGGGTATCAATGTGCGGTGCATTGGTCGCCGAGGAAACAAAAAAGACCCTGTCCCTTGCGCATGCTAAAGGGGTGGACTTTGAAGAAGGTGTTGCCAGTGCACATTGAGGCAAGTGTCGCCACCCTAATTCGATGCTGCTGCTCAGGAAAACGTATTGCGGCGCGACGCCCACCTCAAGGTGTGTGTTGTACACGCGTATGTCGCCACCAGGCGCCGCCACATCAGCTACCAGAGTGACGCGCCGGCCCCGCCGTGGCTCCCGGGCCGCGCACGCGTGGGGCTGAGGGTCGGCCTCCCAGTCGACTGGGTGGTGGGTGTGCTCCAGCACGCGCCAGCTGGTGAAGCGGAAGCGTGAAAATACTGCTCCGGCAGGCTCAAATGAAGGGAGGACGCGATCAAGGGTGCCATTAGGGCCGCGGCGCGACAAGACAGCGGCTATGCAGGGTGCGGCGTCGGCAGGCAAGCATGCTGCGCTGGAGCATGCTGCGGGCGCGCGCCGACGCAGACCGGCGGCGCTGCAGCTCAGCCTCCGCGCACCCGCGTTGCCGTGCACTCCTCCTCCCTGCGACTTGGCATCCCGCAGGGGCGAGCGCAGCTCCTCAAATTCGCAGAGGAACAGGCCGTTGAGGCGCAGCGCCGTCGCGATTTGAGTGAAGGTGTCGACGCCGCCGCTGCGGTCGCAGCCGATATCCAGCTCTTGGAGGCTCAGGATGTCTGCGGGTTGCACGCGAAGTCGGATGCATACAGAGCAGGGGTCGGGAGGGAGGGTGTGCCAGAACTTGGGCAGGGAGTTAGACCAGAAGGTGGGGCTTGTTTATTATACTGGGGCTGGTCGGGCCTTTGTCGCAGCCCTCATGATTGCAGCAAGCGGCCCCTCAGCCCAGCTGCAGCAGCGGCTGCACTGCATGCCGTGGCCTGCCCACCTGCATCGATCTCTTTCAGCTGCTGGATGACAAGGTCCAGCTTGTAACCTCGCTCTATGTTCCAAGTGCACAGGCGCAACGGGCGCGCACTCCTGTCGCCCCTGTGGCAGCTGTCGGCGACCTCGGCTCCTCTTGAGCGCATATCCAGGTGCGTGATTGTGGCTGGTTGCAAGGCGTTTTTAGAGTCTGCCATGGTGATGCAGCAGCGAGACACCCGCTTTTAGTGAGACTGAAGACACCCGCAGATCTCTTCTGTGTTTTTCACGAGCTGACAAGTGACTTGAATTACCGTATAAACCTATTTGCAAGCATAGCAGCGGAAAGCTCAATGCTCTTTGACATAGGCAGGGTAGCTTTTCAAATTTTCTGACAATGAGCAGATGATCTGCACGCGGGCTGCGGTAGAGCATGCCTGTAAAAGTTCTTAACGTCGCGGAGAAGCCCAGTGTAGCCAAAGAGGTCTCTCGCATCCTCAGCAATGGGGCGGCGCGCAACCGGCGCGGGTGGTGAGCACGAGCCAGCATGCAGTACCTTGCAGCACAGCACGCTTCACATTCGCACTGCAACGCGCACGTGGGCCAAAATGCTGGTCTTTAACAAAGTGGGTGCTGCATCGAAAGCATGCCCTATGCTGGCATCTACACGAAAGCTGCAGGATCCTGACCCACACCTCTCACCTCGCCCTTGCATGGCCCGTGCTGCCTACTTGCCTTTCGCCACCCCCTTTGCTGCGCCAGCGCTCAATACAACCCCATCTGGGAGTTTGGATACACAGTCAATGGCCAGTCCTGCGACATGACATTCACCAGCGTTGCCGGCCATCTCATGGAGTTGGATTTCACACAGCAGTACAAGAAGTGGCGCGGGTGCGGGTGTTGGAGAGTGGAGGTTGGACAAGCTGTGGGGTTGAGAGGGTGTGCGAAGTGCAGGGTTATCACAGGCCTGGAAATCACATGCAGCTTCTGTTGAGGTGGTGCGCGTACACGTGAGTGCTTCTGCGCAATGATGGCAGGGATGTAGCGGGGATGTAGCAGTGGAGGTTTGGTCATGTTTGTGCAGAGGCAAGGGTCTTTCAGTTTCATCTCAGGTTGTCTGTTGAGTTGCTCTGCCGGCGGTTACGAGCAGCAGGCGTGGGCGGCTTTCACGGGCTACCTGTTATTTTGAATGGAGTGTCACGTTTTGGTCCTGTGCCTCGTACCTGGCCTCAGACCATTCATCACCTAGCAGCAGGTCGCCCCATTATGGCACTGGCAGCTGCAGCGTCATTTGCAAGCTTGCATAGCAACATTCACATCGCGGCTGCACCCGCAGGTGCGGCCCTGCCGAGCTCTACACTGCCCCAGTTGTGAAATCCGTGCCGCAGGTGCGAGGGCGGCTGCGGGCGCAGAGGCAGCCTGCAGTGCTGGCCCAAATGCAGGGGTGGCCGCCAGCCTGGCCGCAGCCAAGGCGGCCTGGCTTGCCTGTGCATGGCAGCTGCACGACCTCTTTGCAGCACGACTTGCCGCGGCAACCACATTTCAAGCGCCCCACGATGCACGTCATCGCGGCATGCCACGCCGTGCAGGACAAGGCTGCGATGCAGCAGAACCTGCAACAGCTGGCCCGGGGGGCGCAGTGGCTGGTGCTGTGGCTGGACTGTGACAGGGAGGGCGAAAACATCGGCTTTGAGGTGAGTCACAAAGATGCAGTCGTCCAGGGTAAGGCAGGTGGTGGGACTTTGGGCTGCGCGGTGCTTCACACGGAACCGTTTTAGCACTGGGAGCTCTTGTGCAACGACGGAAGCAGTGGGCTACCAGGCACGTTCAATACAAGCACAAGCACAAGCAGCCGCGCCCCGCCCTCTGACCCCACCCACCCCTCAGGTCCTCCAAGTCTGCAGCGCCGCCAACCCCCGGCTGACCGTGTTCCGCGCCCGCTTCAGCGCCCTCATCCCGAGGTCAGGGAATACACTCGCGCGGGCGCCGGCCCCGCTGGTGCTGCAATCCACCATTCATCGGGCGTACCTTGGCGTGCTTCGGCGTTGGGGCGTGGACCACGGGACGGCCAGCTGCGTCCGCTCCTGCCTGGTGAGACTGCGGGAATCGCTCGACCCGCCTGTAACCCAAGCGCGCAGCTCGTGCCCCGCTCGCCCCGTCCCTTGCGACCGCCCTGCAGGGAGCTGAACCACGCGATGGCCACACTGGGTCAGCCCAACCAGCTGGACGCGCTGGCGGTGGATGCCCGCCAGGTCAGCGCATGCACGGGCGGGGCCGTGTGTCTGTGGTTGTGTGGTGGTGTTGGCGCGGGGGAGGGGGCAAGGGGCGAGGAAAATGAGGAATTGGGCCATGCGCAGGCTGTGTTATATTTGAGCAGCAGCGGCCAAGCACGCGGGCAGGCAGGGCCGTGCAGGCTGCGCTGCGGCAGGGGCAGGTGGCTGCAGGTTTGGCGGGGGCCACCTCCTCGGCCATGGTCCCGGTGCTGCGCGTATTATCTGATGTCATCCCACGCCATTGACCAATTTCCTCCCACGCTTACTTGCAGGAGATTGACCTGCGCGTCGGCGCAAGCTTTACTCGCTTCCAGACGCTGCTGCTGCAGGTGGGGCGGGGCGCTCTCCCTTGGCCAGCACCCTTTGGCCGCACCCCATGCCAAGCCCTCCTCCTGGCGCCTGCGGCATGCAACTGCTCGTGCGCGGGTGACTCCGCAACATGATAGCGGCACCCTCCTGCTGCCGCACTCACTGACACCGCCGCCGCTGCGAACGCGTCCCCAGGACCGGTTCGATTGGGCCGCGGGGGGCCTGGCCGACGACAAGCCGCTGATCAGCTACGGCCCCTGCCAGTTCCCCACGCTGGGCCTCATAGTGCAGCGCGCCTGGTGCGCGGCGGGCTTGAACGCGCGGCCGCACAGGGCCTTCGTGATAGGCCTGCCGTGCGTCAAGGGCGCATGCGAGCCAATGAGGGCGCGCGGCACGGCTTGCATCCCGGAGGCTTTCTCCGCAAACGATGGCGCCCAGAGTGGATTGAGGATGACCCGAAATCTCCTGGCTCGTCGCGCGGGCTCTCAGCACACCCATACTCTGCAATGCAGGGAAATCCAGTCCCACGTGTCAGAGCCCTTCTGGTACATCCACGCCAGCCTGCGGGTGCCGCCCCCCCAGGTGAGCGCCCCCGCGCGGCTTGAATGCCGCACCGCTCCACCCTCTCGTCCCACCGTTCGCACCCTCTCAAATATCCTTCAGATTCAGACGCCACCACCCCCTTTTAGAATCCTCCAAATTCCTCATGCCGCGATCAGACCTGCATCCAAGGCTGCCCTTTTTCAATTCAATCAATCAACCGCAGGCCTCGTCCTGCGACTTCACCTGGGCGCGGGGGCGGCTTTTTGACCGGGACGCCGTGACAGTGCTCTACGAGGCGTGCAGCGAGGCGCCCACCGCCACAGTCACACAGGTGCGCACGCGTGTGACGGCCTCGGCCCCACTTTGGAGGCCCCGCTTTGGAGCGTGCGCGCCCCGCGGGAGGCCTGACTTGGGCAGATCGAGTTGCGATAGGCCCCCAGACCCCTTGCTTTGGGCCCCAGACCCCTCGCAGGCGCTTGCTCACCTGATCAAATCACCACG